AAATAATATAAATGAGAAAGTACCAAATAGATGACAATCTGCCTTTATATAGCAAAGCGTAAGAAACCCAGAAAACTTTGCGAAAGCTTCACCAACAAAGAAAAGAAGTCAGAAATCAAATCGTCTAACATAAGTATCAAAGCATCATCGATGTAAAAATAAATCACAATCGGAAGGTATCAGATACATCTGAATGTCACACAATAAACCTGCACGAAAATACAAACCCAGACAAGCAACAAGCAATGTATACATCTCATGGAATGAACCAACAAGCTCAATTGCATTAGAGCTAAACTGAACCATAAAAGAAGTGGAACTAATGCTTTAATCAAATAATCAACAATTAATTAATTGATTGAAAGTTCTCTTAAATCACCTTGCAGAAGTCAACAAATGAGCTAGAAATAACAAGGAGATGTAATCGAAGTTACGCATTCACATCACAACTTAAATTGGAATCAAATCAAGAAGAAACAAGTTGCAAACATGCATTGGAACCATACAATCAATTGACGGGAAGATTCACATTAACACATGAAAATGCACATACAAAAAATCGAATCAAAATCAATCGAACTTGACACCAATGTCAAACAAATATGCTAACAAGCTCAAACGTGCATTAAGTCGAAATTAAATCACAACAAACACATACTTACCAACTCCGGGCAGCAACATTATACTTCACAAAATGCTCAAAAAGTTGGTTTAGAATCAACCAAACTTGATACCGGTATCAACCATATATGCTAACAAGCTCAAATATGCAACAAGTATGAATTAAATCACAATGTACATACAAAAACCATTTTTCGGATAGCATTAAATAACACATGAAATGCTCAAAAAGTTGGATTTAAATCAACCAAAATTGATACCGGTACGAACCAATCAACAACATAAAATCACTTATGCATCGAGCAACAATTAAAACATGGTTTACGGAGTATTTGTGAATTCTGGGAAGCAATATGCATATGTTGATGTTCACCAAAAATTGGGTTGACGTCAAAGTTTTAATGCACTAAACTTGAATATCCACACATGAAAATTCAATCAGAATTCGAAAACAAAATGCATCCATTAAATCGATACCGGTACCATAATTATCAAGCATTGAAACAAAACCAATTTACGTGTCAAAGACCATTAAACAACTTGAAATTTAATTCTGATGCACGAGTTTAAACAATTATCAAAAAGTATTGAATCAGAATCAAATTACAATGCATAAGTCTCAACAATCAATAACAATAAAATTTGACGCGTAGATCTCAACAATAAACAACCATTAAATCAACTGATTCCACATTTATCCATCATCAAGCTTCAAGAATCAATTAAAATCACACAAATCAATTCAAGCAAAATCACTTAATTACAATAAACACTTATTCCTCACAATTCAAGATTCAATTTATGCAAAATCAACACAATTCAAGAATTCAAAAATAAAATTTCAACACAACAATTGATGCAAGCAAGATCAAAGAAGTTACCGAAAATGATGCAAAGCAAATGAATCAGAGAAGGTGAGGAAGATCCACGCGAAAGAGTACCGGTCGGAGGAAGCTCGCGGAAATGACCGGTGGAGGGAGGCCGGTATTGGTCAATCGGAGATTGGAGGGAGTATGTCGAGTGCATCGGCTGGTTGGGAAGGAGGTGCAAGAGGGAGGGCGGTCCGGCGATGATGTGTCCGGAGGTGGAGGGAGGAAGAGAGGGTTTGAGTTCTTGAGAAAGGGAAGAGAGCTTGTTCTTTTGTTCTTGAGAGAATAGAGAGTGTTTTAGTGTGATTTTAGAAAAATGAGTGAATCCCCTTTTTGAAATTGAATCAAAACATTATATAGAAGTGGACTAAGGCCATGTTTGGAAAATGGCAAAACACTAGTTTTCCCTTCTTTTTTTTAATAGTGCAGAATTTTCAGCTTATTTTCATGTACAACTCGAGAACAAACCACAAGCTCGTGACTTTTGGTGCATAATCCTGACGCAAACCCTGAAGCAAAATTGTAGATGACAAAATTTATGACGTCGTGTCGAAATAATCGCCCTGATCCGATAAAAATCGAGAAACTTATGAATTTTGCAATGACAATAAACTTGATTTTCTCTACAATTCAAGGCAAGGTGGAACACGTGAGAACTTGTCATTATGAGGACTTGACTGGCCCCTGATTAAATAGCCCAGAGAACACTCTGAGCGCGTTAACTGACGAAATAAATTCTTATGTAACCCGTCGAAGCTTAAGATAAGTGCCTTGATCCCAAAATCATAGAACCAATGATATGTATGCATGCGTATGATGATGAAATATAATCCAAATAAGGGTGAAATGAAGAGGGTAAATTTTGGGGTATGAAAATGATGACTAAGCTTCTTGAACGAGTATACAGAAATTGGGAGGATTCATACAATGAAATTCCATAATATTTGGTGGCACTTAAGTATTATGCTCCAAGAACTGTTGCAATTTTGGAGACAATGCCAGAATTTTCCCCAGACAGAACTTCTGTTAGTGGAAGTTTAATATTTCATCAATCTTCTGGACATATGAACCATGCATCACAATTTTTGCATTATGTGAACCTATTATGAAAATTACTAGAACCTGCTTGTATGGGAAATATAAAAGGAACGTTACTCATGGAAGGGGCATAATATGGATACAATAATATTTTTCCAATTGTCTTTGGTCTAGTTGAAGGTGAGAATGATGGTTGCTAGAGTGTCTTTCTCATGCATCTCTGATTACACGTTTCTCTGCAACCCAACCTATATTTGATTTCAGAGAGACATCCATCTATTGAGAGTGCATACAATAACCTTGATAAAGTTTGGCAGCATACTCCTTCTACGCATATCTACTACAATAAACATATTGCACAAAAATTCATGCGGGAGATCAAAGACAAGACTCTCTAGAAAAAGTTGTGAACACATGTTATGCGTTAACAGATCCATCGTCCCAACACTATTGCAAAGAGATAAGGTTGAAAAATGCGGATGCGTTAAGGTCGATTGATAATATTCCAGTGAAGAAGTGAACCAGGGCATTGACAATGGTCAACAATGGGGTCACATGACAATAAATCTTATGGAATCAATGAACTCTGTCTTCAAAGACATCAAAAATTTATTGATAACTGCGTTGGTGAGATAAACTTATTTTAGGTTATGGTCACTGTTCAAGACAAAAAGTTCAAAATAGACTTCAGTGTTACAATCGAGGCAAATGTTTAATGAAAGTTGTGTGAAATTTATTTAGAAATGAAACTGCCAAAGCTAACACATATGCGGTTACAATGTTTGACCATCGTAAAAGTTGGTTCAGTGTACAGGAGACAATGGACATTAATGAGGGGAGGCCCAAGGGATACTATCGGTTTGAAATAGATAGAGGTTGGTGCAATTATGAAAAGTTTCAAGCCTTTTGTATGTGTTGCATCCATGTCATAGCAACATGTTCATATGCTCGCCAAGACCCTTTCAAGCATCTATCCCCCATTTACAAAGTCATAAACATATTCAATATGTACAACAATAGCTTATCGATGCTATAAAATGAGGATTATTGGCCTACATATCAAACAGACATAGTTTGGCACAACGAAAAATATGCGAAGGAAGAAAAAGGGTCGCCCTAACAGCAAGCGTGTTTGAACTGAAATGGATACGACAAACAAAATGGTAAGATTATGTAGTACATGTCATCAACCAGGAAACAATCGAAAAATTTGCCCCAATGAAGGAGCAACCTCTGCAACATAATTATTTTATGCACTCTTGATATGTAATTTATGTTTTATAACCATGAAATTTCATATTAAATACAACTTTCATTTCATATCGAATACAACTTTTGGTTACAACAAAACGAGCACAAGCATACATAAAACAACAACACGAAAAACAAATAAAACGACTAAACACTGCAACATATCTAGGAAATTACAACCATTAGGACAACATCATCTCATTCATACATCATAATACGACAATCAACGTTAATTTTAACTGACTTCCACACATGATGTAATTCATTATTGTTGAACACCGAAACAAGTCTATCAATTATTCTAATCTTTTCATCGTCTTGAATGTCTTCGTCTAACCAACGGATCAAGCTCCTCCCAAGATGCTCGAAAGTCTCAGTGTTCCAAAGTCGAATCTTCATCAGAGGTTTTAGTGGCAAATAAAAAAAGTGATCATTTCTTGTAATAATGTGAGACATTTTGAAGAAATATTTAAGAATGAAATGAGAAGGTGAATGGAAAATCGTGGAGAATGAATGACCTATTTATAAAAATATATATTACAACATAGTCGTCAGAGGGAGTGACGACTCTTCTTAGCCAACATGCATGCGCCATAGTAAATGACGCATCCTCTTAGGACAAAAATACATGTGTTAGACCATATGACTCATAAGTATTGCATGTACCACAGACCATAACACCTGAATTTATTAAGTGCATGTGATACTAATAGTGACGCCTCCTGTTGCCTGAGAATTTTTATTTATTTGAAACATGGATATTTTGATTATTATTGAATAATGTTGGTTATTATTTATTTGAAACATGGATATTTTGATTATTATTGAATAATGTTGGTTATTAAGAGATTATATTTGAATAAGTTAATTATTTTTTAAAAGAAATTCTCAAATACAAAATCCTTTATATGCACACCAGACAAATATAAATATAATTTTTATCTAACACACGAATAGTTAACTTTATTATATGTGGATATGAACATCTCATCGTTAACTTTATTAAATCAACATAATTCTAGAGTAGTGAATTGTTAATTTAGTTTTACAAATATTAGAGAGGCTATTGTAGCGCCACATTCTGCATTTAAGATGTCAAGCTCAATCAACAGTGTCTCAGCTAACCCTTAGTTACCAAACACAACACTTTAAATTCATCGTCTTTTCTACAATTGAGTTATCAATCCACACACAAAAAAAGCAGCAAAGTTTTTATTCGACATGGCTGGTTTGGTGAGACCAAGATCACAAGAAGTGGTTTTCAATATCCTAAATAATGTCCAACTTTATAACATTGTTGCAGACAACAATATTCCTCATCATCACACCTTTGTTGCTTTTGCATTATTTTTACTCCTTGGTTTCCTCCAACTAAAACACCCTCAAAACCCTACTCCATTTCAAATCCATCCTAACATCACTTTTGTATCCATTGCTAGCTCTCTTGCCTATTGCTTTCTCTTTTGGGTTAGGCTCAAGTTTGCTATACATGTTAATACTCTTATGGAAGTCTTCGGTTCGCTCTCATTGATTTCTATGGTGTTATTGTTTCTACCAAGTAAAACTCCTTGGGGAGAGTTATTGAAATACATTACCTACACAATATGGTTTATTATTCATGTTGTAGCATTTATTATCAAAGCCCTATTTGGTGAGCATATGAGGAGGAAGAGGGTGGTGTCTCCACTTTTTCCATATTAAGTATATATATGTTTGCATTGAAGGTGAATTTTTCATAATCATTCAAACATATGTTAATTAAATAAGATGTCACTTTTAAGTCTTATATTTTAAATCAAACATATTCACATATTGTATAATAAGTCATATTGTATAATAAGTCATATTGTACAATAAGTTTGAGGTCCTACTTATCCGGTAGACTTGTGGAAAATGTGCTAAAGCATGAAAACTAAAGGAAGATAGCAAAAATAGGACGTTTCATTATACATGCTGTCCTTTTCACTATTATTGTATAAAAAATTTATTCTAATGTATATATTGTTGTGTCTTAGAATGGATGTGTTAATTTGGGTTTGACTTTGTCCTCATATAGAGGCTTCAGCTGATCAAGTTGATTGTGCATCTTTAAGCCTTAGTGACAATGGTCACATCTTTTATATATATATATATATATATATATATATATATATATATATATATATATATATATATATATATATATATATATATATATATATATATATATATATATATATATATATATATATATATATATAATGTGATGTTTGATGTATATACACTGGTTACTTATAGGTTAAGCATATGAAAGGTGACTTGTACTTAGAGCATCTAATGGGATAATTTTTAGATTTTTTTTGGGTGTTTGTGTTGTAATTAATGAAGAAGTTAATAGATAATTATTGGTGTGTTCTAATAATAACAATAAAAATTCAAGTGAGTAAATTAGAATTTAATACATGGGAAATAGTCATACTTGAAAGATTAATTCAGTTTATTGTTCTTTATATAGAGTTATTTATTAATTTATTAAGGAGTTAAATAGGAGAAAGTATCACATAGATAATTGTGATCGTTTCAAATTTTATGTCATTTATCACTTACATATATCCTTTCGTCTGTGGCGACACCGACTCCGGTATCGGAGGCATGGGCATAGAGGCGACATGTGATACCTGAGAATAGTTGCAATATTTAATGTGAAGTGTTACATTACATGGTGAAATAGTGTGTTTCATTGACTTTCAGCAATATCATTCAATATATAAATAGATTGTTTCAGATTCATTGTAAATTCCAAATTTCTTTCTTTCTTACATTCGAATTTTTATATGTCTTGTGCAAACTCGAAAACAAGCTAAATTATTTTGAATATTCCAACGTGTAGACTCTAAAGACAGTTTGAGAGTACTTGAAATACTATTAAAAAATATTCATATGCATGATTCTATCCTTGATCCATTTAACTTATAGTCTCTTTCTAACAGTCTAATAGTAACTAAAATAATAGCTACCAAGACTTCTGTTTTAAGCAACAAAGTGACAAACCAACACCTTGTCAAGTTGAACTGTTTCAATAGGACAAACTTCACTCGCTAGCAAGACAAGATGATCTTCCTCCTAACTACATTGGAGATCTTCCATGTCTTGGATTCTGAATTGGCACCGATTCCAAAACCGAAATATGATGATTCTGAGGAACACAAGACAGAAGACGATAAACGAAAGAAAGATGAACAAATGTGTCATAGACACATTCTGAACACATTATCTAATAGTCTACGCGACCTCTATACGGACAATTAATCTACAACGGAAGTCTGGAAGGCACTCGAGTTCGGATTTCGTGCTTGTTAGTACCATGGTTTTAGGATTGGCATAATTTTGCTAAAATATAGTTTACAACATGATGTTATAGAAGGTGTTCTAATATGTTGTTCAGGTTCATTTGAAGGTAGATGTTCTGACATATATTATAACATCATGTACCAGAACATCAGTACAAGCTGTATTTTTCTTGACAAATTTAAATTAATCATGTGAGATTCCTTTTGGTTTTATCTTGCTGATTTTTCGCAGGTGAAGAATATTCAATATGGAAAATTTGATTTATCTCTAACTGTACACAGGTTTCCAAAATAGGGCTTTGAGACAATTTAGGAAACCTTGTGTGTTGTTACAAGATTTAAGGAAGATTCAAGGCCCGTGGATTACTGAGTAGTATTTAAAGAAATTACCTAGACCTAAATTCATCAAGAACTTTGTAAAAAATAAGAGGAAGTCTACTTTTCTTAGTCTTAGGGTTTGAGGGTTCTTCAAGGGAGTTTCTATTTTTGTACGTCCTCATGTATCTTTTGATGCATTTGAGTTGAGTGATTGTTACTTGTTTATCAAGTTATTGTTCTCCTATAAGATTTTAAGCAAAGAGTTGTTCTTAGTCAAAGCTTTTAAGCAAAACTAAGTATTTTTGAAAGAGTAATCTTATTTTTGGTTTCTTGAGACATCCCCTAGGATTGGGATTGTTGTTGATATCACTGAGGTGATTGAGAGTGAGAGGAGTTCTCATATCTAGAAGGTTCTAAGGTAAAAGTTGCACTGGGTAGTGATTAAGTGATAAGTTGTAAACTGAGACTGTTTTGGCTTAGAATTAATACTACTTGTAATACCCAAAATTTGTCCTACCCTTTTATTTTTATCTAGCTTATGCATTTTGCCCTTTTCTCATGTGCATAACTCCCTTTAGGTCATTTAACATATCATGCATCATTAATCAGTAAATTTAGCATGGGAACAAGGATTCTTGACCATCGAGAACTTCTCGCTCTTATTAAGCTACAAATTTGTTATTTTCATCAAGGGCAGGATCATTAGGGTTTCACTAAAGGTTTAAGTAAAGATTATGTGAGCTAGGGTTTAAGGCCAAAGTCATCTTGAATATTTTCTTCAAGGATCCAAGACATTGTTATTGCTCATACAATTGAAACATGGTACAAGATGCGGATTATAATCAAGGCGTCATTCTTTTAAATTGTTTGTTTCTTGTCATGCGAGTTAATATTGGATTAAGGTTGAAGTGGATTTAAATGATTCCATGGATTCAAACTTGGCTCAATTCATTAAATTTGTTGGAAGCATACATGGCATTTTGTGGAATTATTAAGGCATTAAAGAAGGAAAGTTGAATTTCAAATTTGAAAAGGAGGGAAACCTTTTATTCCATATTACTTGGTTGACAAAGTCAACACCAAAATAAGAAGGTTAACAAGTTACAAATGCAAAGTCAATGACAAGAAGATTTTACAAAAGAAGGCATGTACAGTGACTATGTTCTTAAACATATTCCAAAACACCATGGCCAATTCATCGTTGTTCATCCCTAGACCTATTTACTAAGCTATCTTCAAAACCTCTTCAGCCACCATCTTTCATACATGTACGCATACTTCATGATGCCTGCACGTGTGCTAAAATCCCCTTATTTCAAAATGTATTTTAACTTCATCCTATGCCATTTATCGTTACCATGGCCTGCCTAAACAAAACTTGCGTCTGACACAAAACTTCCAACTCCATTTCTCATATGCGCAAAACCGAAGAAAAAAACAGTTGATGTTAATACAGGAAAATAGGGACATTAATGTTACATGACACAAGCATACCAAAGTCCCAAGGCAGTTTCAAAACAATAGAAAAATTCAGCAAATGAAAATAGACCGAAACCAAGTTTACCTTGAAAGCTAAGCATCATGTTAAGACTGGTTCGAGTGTTGAAAAAGGCTAGAGTTTTGGTTTACATTCCAGAATGTTGCCTATCAAGGCCATCAAGCTCAAATCTACATAAACAGTCATGCACGTTCATCTCAGAAGATAAAATCAGGCTACTACAAAAAACCATCCCGTGCATTAACATAACGGTTGGCCTGCAGAAAATTGAGAAGGGATTAAATCAGAAAAAACAGCCATGCAATCAAGGAAATTATGTCTAAAAAACAGTTTACAGAGCCAGAAAAGAACTATCAAGCTAACAGAAAACCATAACAGAAATCCCCAGCTAATTTCCTAACCAACTCTAAAATCCTAACAGAAATTAACAGAACTGCCCCTAAATGTTTTTCCTTAACAATTCCTAACCGATTTCATAACTCCCTAACTGCTCTAAATGTCAACATAAAATCTAAACTAAACCCTAACTATCAAAACAAACTCTAACAGAAAATTCTCGGGAGATGAAGAGATAACAGAAGCATATAACATAAAGAGAAAGGGAGGGAATTTCAGTCAAGACATAACAGAAATTATCCATAGAAATTCACCATAAAATCAGAGAAACCTCTCAACATATCTCTTCCATTTTCTCTCCACAACCATATATGAATTCTATCTTCACTTTCAATCTCCATTTCTCAATCTTAAAACCATCAATCTCTCATCTTCTATCTTCATCATTCACCATTGTTCTTCGATTATGAGAGAAAGAATTAGAGAAAATCTTCAACAAGAGAATGTATTCATAATAGAGGAGGAGATTCATGACTGATTTTTTGACCAAAATCAGAATTCATGATTCATTCAAGAAGAGGACAGAAATCTCACCTTGAAATTCTCTGAAGAAATACTAGAAATCTTTATCTTTCTCTGATTCAATACAAAGTCTCTGCATAATCTTCATAATATTTACTCTCTCGGATTCAATCTTATAAATATATAGTCTCACAGAATCTCAGCGGTGAAGAGTAACTAATCAGCTTCATCACCATACTTCAATCGCCATCGCGAAGCTCCTCGATCTGTTGTTTCATCATCGCAGTTCTTCATCCTTTAACTCGTCAACAACCGCAATGCATCAGGTCCATAACATAAATGCAAGAATCGAGGAAGAAGAGAGTGAAAGCTTAAAAATGTACCTGAGTTCTTTGCGAAAGAATCACAAATCCTCATCGACTCCATCATTTTTGAAGAAGCACCAAACTTCTCTCTGGTAGGTAAGCATCGAAATTCGTCAAACCTTCAATCTCTTAGGTCCTTTCTGCATATCTGTATGGCCCGAAGTGCTCATCGAAGAGGCTGATGAACGAAAGTAAGGCGAGAGATTGAGCGAAGTCGCGACATAGTTTGGGTTGCGGAAGAATGAAATCGAACGAAGATTAAGAAACGATGGGTGGCGAGGCTGAGCGAAAGAGAAGGTGATGGTGAGGGGAACGTAATAGCCATGGTAATCA